ATTCTGCTTTACTGTTTATATTTTTCAATAAATAATATTTTGCTGGTTATTCTGGGAAGAGACAACATCTTAAGTCTTATATTGCAGCAGTGAATCACAAGTAGTTATTTTGAAGTACTTTAACAATATGCCAGCGCCCTTATACACGAATATTTTGTGCTGGGAGGTAGGCCGGGCCCGACCCACCGCGGGAAGGAGAACCACGCCTGCTCCTGACCCAGCAGCCATCACTCAAGCGCCGGGAAGGTAGCCGCACGGGCGCCCCTGAACCCCCATAAGTCCCCACCCCCCAGCACTCTCAGACCTCCTGACTGTGCAAGTCTTTGGACCCACTCTGCAAAGACAGAGGTGGTCATCAAGGGTATTTTTCTGAGTTCCCAACTTTGAACATCTTTAAAGAAAGGGCGGGGAAACCTGTAATAGAAGTTGAGGAGTTCAACCATTCAGAAGGATGGGGAACTCAATCTGGGCCTTGCGGCCCGAGGTCAGTCAGCGTCATGGGGTTCAGCAATCAGCTAACTGAGATCAGGGGTCTTCCATCCTCGCTCTATCTGAGCCATTAAATGGTAAATATACTATATTGAAAAGTTTGTTCACTGCAGACATGTTCTGGACTGCTTCTTGATTTCAATTTAATTCAAATGATTTAAGGGTGATAGACTAGTGACTACCACAGGTGGTCAGTGTCCAAGTTGTGCTTGATCTTAATGTGTTGCTGATTGTATCAGTTGGGGTAAAGCATTGCCGTTGATTTGATGAGCTGTTTTCTCTGATGTTATGAAGATGAGAATGTCCGTGGGTCGTTAGAGACACAGAAGCTAGGGTGCAACTATATCAGGAAGATTTGGGTGATAATCCAGAGATTAAACCAAGGACAGTCCAACAACAAAAATTAAAATGAGAAAACACTTAAGCAAGACACAAGGACAGACTTCCAGTTCACCAATGGCAAACAGTAGGGCAAATGAGGATGAAAAGGCCGATAGTGAACCACCAGGACACCCTGAACTCAAAGCACAGGAAGTAACAAAACAGATCAATCAGGCTCTAGAAAAATTCAAAACAGAAATAATTTCCCAGATAACCATAGAGATAGTGAGCAAAATGGAAGTCGTGATTCGAGACTCTAGAGCAGAAACTGACAAAAAAATAGATGAGCTCAGGACCATGATAGAAGCCATGAAGGCCCAGCATAAGAAAGAAATGGAAAAAATAAACGCCCAACATAGGAAAGAAATGGAATCCATAAAACAGATTCAAACAGATATCCAGGAGATTAAACACTCTATTGAAAGTGTACGCAACAGAATAAAAGAATGCGAAGATAGGCTCTCAGATATAGAAGATAAGATTGCAGTCAGTGACCATGAAAAGAGAGGTCTCTTAAAAACAGTAAGAGATCATGAGAAATCGATCCAACAACTCCTAGATGATGCAAAGAAGAATAACATAAGACTGATAGGAATACATGAAGTAGCAGGAGAAAATACAAATGACTTAAAAAAGCTGTTTGCAGAATTAATGACAGAAAACTTCCCAAACAGAGGGGAAGAATTTGACATTCAGATAACTGAGGCATATAGGACCCCAACTAGCTACAATCAAAAAAAATCTACACCTAGACATATAATAATCAAGATCCCAGAAACCCAACAGAAGAACAAAATACTACAAGCAGTAAGAGAAAAGAAACAAATCACATACAAAGGAAAGCCCATCAGAATCACAGCAGACTTTTCAACACAAACCCTTGGGGCAAGGAGAGCCTGGAATGAGATATTTCAAGTACTAAAAGAGAACAACCTCCAACCTAGACTGATGTATCCAGCAAAACTCTCTTTCAAAATGGATGGGGAAATAAGACACTTCCACGACAAAGAACACCTGAGAAACTACATGAATACCAAACCAGCACTACAAGCAATTCTAAACAAGATCCTAGAAAAAGACAATGAAGGCAACAACACCATGAGGCCCAACAGAGCAAATCAAATAGGCAAGGCAAGAAATTAAAAGGAGAAGGTGAAAAAGTAAAAAGAGTCAACAAAAGGCCAATAACATGTCAATAATAAGTCAGTACATATCAGTTATAACCAGCAATGTCAATGGCCTCAACTCACCAATCAAGAGAAATAGACTGGCAAAATGGAATAAGAAGCAAAATCCAACAATATGTTGTATACAAGAAACACACCTAGTGCAAAAAGAAGCCCATAGACTGAAAGTGAAAAGATAGAAAACAATTCTCCATGTGACAGGAGCCCAGAAAAAAACAGGGGTAGCAATCTTATTTGCAGACAAAGTAAATTTCAAACCAAAACTGAATCTAGTATTATTGATGTAGGACAGTACTGTATCATACCTCTATGAATGTAAAATATCTAGTACCTGCTTTATGATACATAGTAGGGACCGTGCTTTATCACAGCTACATTTAATGATATTACTCTAGAATGTTCTCTTTCCAGATGATGATTAAGAGGCTAATAGAAAAAATGGTGCCAGGTACCACAGCAGCAACAGAACTTGGCTGTTGTCTGGATATTATTACTTTTCTTTGTTTTTTTGTTTTTTTTTTTTAATGGAATGTGCCGAATGTCTATAATTTTGTTCAGATGACTGCAGAACCTGGAAAAGCTGTTGCTGCTATCAATGCATAACATACTATTATTAGTCTTTATACACACACACACACACACACACACACACACATATAAATTGAATTTTGGGAAACTTTAACGGTGCTGCCAACTTTGGAAAAAGTCATCCCAATTTACTGTGTTAACTTGGCATTGTACAGAAATGGACAACCATATTGGTCTAGAAATGTTATTTTATTTTAATTTTTTTCCATGTGTACGGGGTAACACATTATACTAAATATGTAAGGTCATATCTACGAGGGTTTGATTACAGAAACTAATAAAGTATTCTCTAAATAATGAAAAAAAATAAGACTATAAGAGCGAGAAGCAATTTAAATATGTTCAGGGACCATTTTCATCTCCAGAATTAAGGATTATTTTGATGTTACATCATTGCCTTTTCTCTTTTACTTTCCTTTTTAGTTTTATTTTAATGTCTATTTTTAATGTTCATACAGAGATTTCTTTAACTGAAATACTGAATAGTTTCTTTGGTGTGAAAAACTATAATAGTACACAAGATCCTAATGAGACAATTAATAATGTGAAATAGGAAGTAAAGGGCTAAAGGTATAAGGAAAGTGGGAAGGGTGGGGGAAAGGTAATAAGGGAGAGGAAAAAAATATGAGAAACTGAAAAAATGGAAATAAAGTGTTTGTAAATGGAGAGGGGAGGAGGGGGTGAAGGGAGGGCAGGGACAAGGGGAAAAATGAGAATCAAGACCTATTATGTAAAGGTACAGAATCCCAATGATGAACGTAACTGTATTTGTATACCTAGATTGTACCAGTAACCTCAATAAAAAGGAAAAAAAAAGAAGAATATTTTGTCATAAGGCATGCTTTTTTAAATACAGTAACTGAAAAAAAAATTTTAAACAGGGAAGGGGATTTAGCTCAGTGGTTCCACCATCTGCCTCACAAGTGCAAGGTCACGAGTTGGATTCCCAGTACTAAAAAGCAAAAACAATTTTTTTAAATCACCATGTTGTACCACTGAAGACAGTTTGAATCACCAGAGAAAGTACAGACTTAGTAATTATGTGCTTATACAGTAAATGGCCCTTGGCAAAAACAACTTGTACAAATTGTTGTGCCAACTACTACCTCTCAAGGTGAATTAATCATTCAACTGAAAACTTCCTAAGAGAAACTCCACAGTTAAGAAAACCCTATAAATACAACAAATCTATTTTTAGAAAAGTCTTAACTTACAAATATAAAAAATTTAGATTTCTTTACGTCTCAAAAAATCTTTATTATTCTTACCTAATTGTCACAAAAATTCCTTTAGGTGGCACAGTAAACACAGCCAGGAATCTACAGGTAATTTATTTAAACCTACATTTTCTTATGTAACTGGATCAATATACAGTATTATCAAATGACAAAGATTAAAATCCATTTTTCTTCTTACTCCAGGATGCTAATATCAATCAACAAAAATCTGAGTTTAAGAAGCATGAAGAAAATACTGCAAACTAAAATGTACCTGTTGTTTGTTATAAAAATTGTTAACAAAAGGATGATAATTCTTCTGGGAACTTAACTATTATCTTCTTAACTGGTCAGGTTGTTTACTAGTCATTGTTAATCATCTTAAATCAAGGTGAAGTGTATGAGTAAATTAAAAAACAACTTTGAAGAAAATCAATATCAAAAAATCCTATCAGGGCCAGGGATTTAGCTCAGTGGTTCTACCACCTGCCTCACAAGCACAAGGTCTTGAGTTCAATCCCTGGTCCAAAATATTAAACTCCTTAGGGTTTTCTAAATGCCTACTGTAGTCAGTCATCTCTTCTCACTTTTCTTAGTCCTGACAAATTAAAAGCAGTAACAATAGCTGATGCTACAGACATATAAGTAAGCAAAAAGAAGTAACAGCATAAAGAGCAGCTGGAATTTGACCAATACTGAAGCAATGACCCACAGAATCTTCCCAGGGCAGCAATGTAATTACGATATATTAATCCAAGTTATCAGTAACATTAAGCTGCATTCAGTGAAATCTGCTTAAGTAGACAGAAAATTATGTAATACATAGAGAAAAGCTTGGTCAAAATCCTGAGATTTTCTTAGTAATTAGAATAGCTTCAGTTACCTCTTCTATTAAATACATATGCATTCAAGAATTACACTTTATTGGGCCAGGGATTTAGCTCTGGTTCCACCGCCTGCCTTGCAAGCATAAAGCCCCCAGTTTGATCCACAGTACCAAAACAAAAACAAAACAAAGAATATACACTTTATTACTATAATAATGAACATGAAATAATGCTTATTTTAAACGTTATCTTTACAAATAGCCATGACACAATATTCAGGAAATAACTACTTGGTGTTTGGTTATACCAACCTACTGCAGCATGAAATTGAGATAAAGCGTCAGCTAGCTGTCCAGCTGCAAGTAATTTCTTGCCCAATTCAAGATGTTTCTCAACATCTGCATTTACTCCACATTCAGCACCTAAAAATAAATTTTTAAAAAATTGGTTAACTTTCCATGAACCATGACTTAATTCTAAAAAGTAAAAAGTTAAGATATAGTTATCTGGCTTAATCATCTACTCAAGTGGGAAAAGTCAGAGAAGCTGAAAATGACCTAGAGAAAGTAACAAACACAAACAGTGCTTACTTTATAGAGTAAGAAGCCCAATAATATACTGTTATCAACCTAGCCAGTCAAAATAATATAACCAGTCCAAAACTAAAAGGAACCTTGCCAAACACAGTAGTGAAAATATTTTGAACAAAAAAATTAGAACTGCTTTGTTAAACTGGAATCTCATCTTAATGAATATTATGCTGTCTGCTATATTTCAGTACTCACTAAACACCTACAATGTACTAAGAACTGTTCTAGGTGTTAGGGATAAGTGAACAAGAGTAAAAAAAGACAGTCCATTGTTCCCTCCAAATATGTGACATTATATGGGCAAAGACAGATATAAGTAAATTACATAGTACACTGGGTGAAAAGTACTGCGGACAGAGCCCAGTAATGAGAGTGGCAGGAATGTGGGAAGGGAGATTATAGTAAACAAGGGGGTCAAGGACAGATCCTCTTAAGAAGCTGACACCTCAAGACTAGTGAGGAACTCACTATGTAGACATCTAGGAAAAAAGCTTTCCTAGGAGAAGGACCAGCCAGTGCAAGGGCCCTAAATGAGAAGTGTGCAGATATATTCCAAAATCAGCAAGGAAGCCTGGATGACTGCAGCAGAGCGAACAGTGAGTGATATGAAGTCAAAGAAGTAAAGGGTCTGATTACGAACAGCTTTCATTTGCCTCTTGGTGAAAAAGGAAGCTACTGAGGCATTTAGAGTAAGCATCACGATCTGACTGGGCCAATTATCAGTGATTTCACTCCCAACCCTGAATTCTTCCTTTGATATCCATTATGCAATAATGGAGTAGCAGTTTAAATACGGTACCCTCTGTCAGTAAAGGGTACAGAGAGAATTGTAGAAAGGAAAGATACCGCCTAGTTCTTCTTGCAACATTTTAACTTTTCCTGGCTCTTACAGTGATGTGTATGTGAGGGCATCCAATGGTGCTCTGCCCTAGCAATATGTCCCTCAGCTACCTGGCACTGCCTCTCAACGAAGGCACCACACACTCCAGCTTCACACATCCTCGGCAGTGCCTGACAACCTCTATACACAAGCCAGCCAGCCTTGGCTTAGCTACACCCGATGGTTGTTTCATGGCTACCCAACTGCTGTAGACCAGGCTCTGGGTCCAGCAACTCAGTAAACTTTTCTACCATCAGCAACTTCAGGCTGCAAATATACTTTTCCAGCTTGCATGGGAGCCTGTACCTCTTGTATAAGAGGCCCCTTTGTCAAGGACTTTCAGTCCTATATCCTTTGGCATTCCCTTCACATCTTTAGCTAATGTCCCATGACAGCTTAACAATTCTATGAAACTATTCCTTTTTAAATTACTGTGTGCTTTGCCTCTTCAGTAGAGACTGACTTACAGTTGGCACCGGTAGTGGCCCCAAGAGACAGATCTTCAAAAGGGGATTTGAGGGTTGGTTTGGTCAAACCCTCACGCTTGAGGGGAGGGCAGAGCTCCTTGCCTATGGGGAAATGAGGTACTAATAACTATAGCAAGTATGGTAAAAATGTTACATTCAAGTAACTTGTTCTGCAAGTGTTCCACAAAACAAGCAAACATTTCTAATAATTTTTAACCTGATAGATGAATGATGTCTTGCTATATGAGAAGTACATGATGCCAAATGTCACATGATCACAGCTGAGCCAACAGTTCTTCTCCCTCTCCCTCCCCTTCTCACTCTCCTTCTCTTTCTACCTCCCTCCTCTCTCCTCTCTGCAGGACAGGATTGTAGGTGATTGTCTCCCAACAGCCAGTAAAGGTATTACTGAGATCTCACCTGCAGAGAAAGCAGAGGAAAAGATGGAGGAATCCCTCACTTCAAATGAGATTAGGGAGATGTATAAAATGTGGGAAACAGTGCAATATTTTATAGAAAAGGACCTCTTAAATAAATGCAAGCAATCAATCTGTTTAAGGACAATGCAATGTCACTTTTTAAAAACATCTTCAAAAGGAGTCAAAGGCCATTAATATTGGATAGGTTCCTTGTTAAGTGGCACGAAATGAAAAAGATTCCACTAAGCCCAGATAGCAGTGATTCCAGAGCCAAGGACTTAGCTCAGTGGTGCTGCTGCTGCCTGCCTCACCAGCCCAAGGGTCTGAGTTCAATGGCTGGTACCAAAAAAAAAAAAAGAAAAAGAAAGAAAGAAAGATAGCAGTGATTCCATTAGTGATAGTTAAAGTTGATTTACACAACAAACCTCCTCTTCTATCTTGTCTCCCTCACATCAGCCACAACAGTTTTCAAAGATTAAATGCAGGTTAATTTATTTTCCTTTACATAATATTTTTTATTTTATATTTTGTATTATAGTATAGCATTGTAATCATTTTTATATGAATCTTTTTGGGTTGTAGAACAAATCATCTGAGTCACCATTATTTCTTATGGGGAAATTTCCTTGGATATACAAGTGCTTTGAATTGCAAGCATGTTTCTAAAACAAATTATGCTCACAAACCAAGGTTTTATCATATTGTAATCACAAGCTACCACTATGGCTGACATACAAAAAAAGTGATGAAACATGTCATGGAAGGCCAAGTACCTGCTTCATTTCACCATAATGACAGAAATAAAAATAAGGACTTGATGTAGGGTAGATTCTTTTGAATGCACTAAAGCACTTGGAGAAAAGTAACAAGTCACAGTCAGTGAGCTTCCATGACAGCTTGAAAACAGTCTCATTTTTTTGTAGCCACAGAGCTAATTTAGCTAAAATTCAACCAAAAAAAATCTAATTATGAGGGTTGCTGGATTAAAGTAATAGTTGAATTCAGTCTCACCAAGTTTCTCCTGTAAAAGTTAATGCACAGATGAATAAAAAATGAAATCCTTACTTCAGGAAGGAGAACATATGTTTGGATCCAGATGTAATTAACAAACATGAACTTTCAAGTTCTTTGGAGTCTCTTTTACCATATTAGTTTGCCCCTGTGTGAAAAGACTAACCTTTGACTGCTTAAAAATCCCAGGACAACTTTACACTGAGCAGATGCACTGAAAAGAGATGCTTATTCTTAAGAGCCACCATAAACTGGGCATGGTGGCACATGCCTGTAATCCCAGCACTTGGGGGAGGCTGAGGCAGAAGGATTACCACAATTTCGAGACCAGCCTAGACCGGCTACACAGTGAATTCAGGGCCACCCTAAGTGAGACCCTGACTCAAAAAACCACACAGAAAAACAAAAACAAAAAGCCACCATAATCATGCACCCATTATCACTAACCTATTATTAGAATCAAATCACACCAGACTTCAGGGAAGCAAATACACAATATGATCCAAAAGACACATCAAAAGAAAGAATTGCAAGGCTTTACTGATAAATTAGCAGGACGCCAGGGACCAAGTATAAGAATGAATTGTAGAGGTATTAAACCAAGAAGAGTGGAATATAACACAAGATCAGTCTAATGCACTGATGTTACTTTATTCTATTCAATGAGACAAATTATCCAACATCCAGCTGGGGATTTAGCTCAGGGGCTCTCAAATGCAAGGTCCCAAGTTTGATCCCCAGTAAAAAAAAAAAAAAAAAAAAAA